ATAAGAGGGAGCTAGGATTCCTTTATAATGGTTCTATTATAATAAAACATTAAATATCACTTTCAATTCTGTCCAACAATAATGCATATAATCATTTGTTCAGTCTTTGTGTGTGAATTCATATTTTACACAAATAGTAGCCTTATGAAGTTGCTACATGTACAAAGAAACTTCCTGCCTTCTGTGAAACCACAGAGGAAACAATTATTCCAGAATTAGTACTCTCTCTATTGACTAGTAGCCACAGGAAAAAAATGCAGGATCTTGCTGGTGACCACTGCAAAGATGCATCTCATTTTGCCATTAGCGGTGATGATTCCGTGTGAGTGTGTGAAATTAATTTTTAAGTTAGCATTCAAAGCAATGGGTTCATGATGGTATCCTTATTCATGTGTAGCATAATTCGTTCTAATTTGACTCTGCCCTGACTGCCCTCTATTGTCTCTCACACTCCTCTCAGTAGGTCCCCTTCCTCCCTAGATATAGTCCTCCATTTTCTGCTTTTACATCAAGTCACATATATCCCGGTGTGCTCTCTTCGCCCCATTCCTTCCCACTTAAGATCTTTTCCTTCTGTCGTGTGGTTCCCTCACTAGCTTCATTGTGCCTGCACACCTACAGACTCAAGGGGTTTTTTTTGTAATTTATTTGCTTGTTTTCCTATCATGCCCCCTTTCTACAGAGAGGCTGAACTTGTTTAAATATTTTCCATTTAGAAATAATGCAGCTTTAGTGAGCTTTTCCTGTGCACAATTTAAAAGAGAAAGGTAATGCACACAGTTTGGTCTGAGCTGCATATGCAGTCTCCTGTGATTGCTTTGAGAAGCTCATTAGCAGCTATTCATACCATACGTCCTTCCAACTTTAGAACCCCAGTGGCCAACTTAGTGCCTGATGCATTGTGAACATCCATTTTTGTTTGTTTGATTGTTTGTTTCTCAAGACAGGACCTGTCTGTGTAGAAGTAGCTCTCCTGGAACTCTCTCTGTAGACCAGGCAGGCCTACAACACAGAGATATGCCCGCCACTGACTCCAAATTTCTAAGATTGAAGACATGTGCCACCATGGTCGCTTACGGGCATACATTAAGTATGTGTTGAATAATATTCTAAGAAGAAAAATTCCAATTTCATTATATTATATATGTCACATTCTGTTAGATAAATTTTAAGATATAAAGAGCAGTGACTTTATCATTTGATGATTTTTCTGAGAAATGGCTTCAGAAGGTACTTTTTTATTTAATGTAGCATATATCTCCAAAGAGAACCTTTATAGCTTTATAGTTATGACTCCATGTATTCTCTAAAGAAATAAGCTGATTGAGACCTCAGATGATTCCTATCAAGGAAAATGTTTTAAAATGGGCTTATGCAATTATAAAACACATCAGAAAATATCCACCATGAATGACAGTTAATGTCTGTGTGTGTGTGTGTATGTATCACAGTAAGTTGAAATAATGCAATGATTATATTTAAATATATTTTCCAATAATTCTATTATTTTAAAGCTTACAAAGTGGGAACCTTAGATACATCTCAAGTGAGTTTAAAATTGTTGCAATAACAGAATAAAGTAAAATCCTCCAAAATGTATGAAAAGAAGCTGGACTCACAGCTACTGGGGATTCGGCTACAAAGCAACAGATTCACTAATGATGATGCCTCAGATCCTAAGACAGAATCCAGAATACAGCACAGAGTAACAAAAAAAAAAAAAAAGAAGAAGAATGAGAAAAGACTTGCAGGAAAAAATGAAGTGGGTAGGGGTCGTAGATAATGGGACAGTAGAGCATCTCCAAAGGTTCAGATTGATGCATCTTCACAGTGGATCTCATGCAAGGTATACCCAGAAATAAAACTTTTTAATTTATACTGTGGCCTACTCATCTTGGAAGGAGAATGGTTTATATGACAAGCTTCCTGTTTAAGTTCTAGTACAGAAACAGTATCTGTAAACTCTTTGCTTTCTGTAGTTCAGGCTCAAAGGGTAATTGGTACTCAAGGTCAATGGCAATATCTGTCCTCAGTCTCAACACATTCCTCCAAGTTCAGAACATACTTGAAATTCCTGAGACAAAGTCTCACAATTTGTCAAAGACTGTCCACAATACTCTGATCCCATCCCAGCCTCCAGCTAGAATTAAAAGTATGTGCTAAGAAATATTTTTGAAATACATATTTCGTATTTTCCTTACTTGTTTTTTTTTTGGTATTTTTCTGTGTATGTTTGCAAATGCATTTAAATGTATCAGGCTTTCTTTGGGGCCTTACACTGTTCACAAATCATGACACTAAGACTTATTATTAGTTATGAATGCTTGACCTTATCTTATACTTAGTTCTTGCTAGCTCTTATAGCTTATATTAACCTCGTTCTTTTCATCTGTATTTTGTCTTAGGGGATTTTATTTTACCTTTTTTTCATTCTATTTGTCTTATTTCATGTCTGCCTGGCTAGTTCCCAGGCATCTCCCTCTCTTTCTCCCTCATTCTCTCCTCCTCTTTTGTTCTTTTCTTTCTCTTTTACTTTTTCTCTCTGTCCACAAACCAGCCCTGCCTATTCCTCTGCTGTCTGGTTATTGGCTAATCAGCTTTTTATTTGACCAATTAAGTGCCTTAGGCAGGCAAAGTGAAACAGCAACACATCTTTACATAATTAAACAAAGGCAGCATTAACAAATATAATATACCATTACATTGTTAAGGTAATATTCCACATCATTTGTGCGTTTTCCAGTGCACTTGTATATAAAGATACATGTGAAGGCCAGACAACAACCTTGGGTGTCATTCCTCGGGCACCATCCACCTTTATTTGTTTCAGAATCTCTTACTGACCTTGAGTTACCAATTTAGCTAAGCTGACTGGCCAGTGGATCCCAGGGATCCACCTGTCTGTGCCACCCACTGCTGTGTGGATTCTGGATATCAAACCCATATCCTTACACCTGTGCAGCAGGTGCCTTATTAGCTGAGTCATCTCCCTAGCCCTTACATCTATTTGTTAAATAAACACAGCCATCTCCATTTTCTTTCATGTTTTTATATTGCCATATTTTTAATCCCCATTTCTTTCCATTTTACACTGTGAAATTTCTCTCTCAGTCGCACCTGATTCAATCACCATTTCTGGAATTTCCATTTGTTGTGCTTTTCTAAGTAACAAAAAAAAAGAAAGAAAAAAGAAAAGAGAGAGAGAGATTCTAAAATGGTATGAGGGACAACATGACATAAAAGATAGCTAAGCTGAGTTTTGGCTTCAATATCTGTTTTCATAGGTGCCTTCACTCCTATAGGCAATGGCTGAGTTTGTCTTGTCTCAGCTAGCACAGTTCATTGATATTATACAATGAAACCTTCCATATTGACTCTCTGATGAAATAATTCAGGCAGATATTTTTATTATGGTTGCCCCCCTCTTCTGCTTTGATTTCTTGGCACCATTTTGTTTTGTCTGATTTGTGAGCCATGCTCTGTCGTTGGCACACCTTTAATGAATGATGATTCTTATTTGCTCATGTTTATCCTTGAGGGAACAAGAGGCCAGAGAACAAGTCAGTGCAGCTCACCCGCAGTTGTATGCATTGTTTTCCCACCTATGAGTTGGCCGCATCTCTTCACACTCACCTGTATCCAAGTGGTTGTTTCTCTGAGCAGAGCTTCTTGGGCAGTTTTCTACACGAGGTCTCCATTTCTATAAGGGCGTTTTTTACATGCTGTTTAAGGGCATCAATCACTTTCATGAAGTCAATCTTTTCTACACGAGGTCTCATCAGTGCCACCTGAAGGCTAATCCAATGTCCTACACCTTCTGACTCAAGCAGAGCCCAGCAGTCTGTGACCGCGTAAACTAACCATATGATGAAAAAGACATTTCTAATTAATTTGGGTCTGCTTCTTCATTATCCAATAGTTTTATCACCCGAGGTATGTGAAAACTGCAATGCTGGAGCATGACTCCAAGTCAACTATAGCCAACTGTCTACAACACAAAGCAATGTTAAATGCCTTTCTTGAGACTGTCATACACTGCTGAATCTGAGAACCACTTCCTTCATCGATGTAGTGATGTGGGAGTGTCATATATCAATCTGTTGATTTCATGGGTTAAGTAATAAACAAACTGCTTGGGCTCATAGCTTAGAACATAGGTGGGTGGAGTAAACAGAACAGAATGCTGGGAGGAAGAGGAAGAGAGGTAAGACACCTCAGACAGAGACGCCATGCTCCGCTCTCCCGGGCAGACGCACGCGATGAAGCAAGCCGCCAGTTTAGACATGCTGAATCTTTCCCGGTAAAACCGGTGCTCACAGATTATTAGAGATGGGTTGATCGGGATGTGAGAATTAGCCTGTAAGGGCTAGAGCTAAAGGGCCAAGCAGTGTTTAAATGAATACAGTTTGTGTGTTGTTATTTCGGAGCATAAGCTAGCAGGCGGCTGGGGTGCTGGGGATGCAGCCCCGTCCGCTCTTATTACTACAATGTAGTTATGTGGTACTCAGATGGCAGCATGTTGTATCCTACCCAAGAGACACTTAGCAATGCCTGTAGATCCTAGGCTGTCAAGCTGAGATGCTGATGCAGGAGAGATGAGCTGCCAGTCAACATCGCTCGACACACAGGACACCTTCTGTCCACAACACGTGTCCCATCTGGTACAAAATGTCAGTAATGGTGGAGTCTGGAAACTGATGGACCTGGGGCTTCTGTTTAAGCTTTCACTCTTCCATTTAAAGCATTCTGGTTTGTGTTTAAAAAAAAAAAACAAAACAAAAACAATCAAACAAACAAATGCTGTGTGAATAGAAAAGGTGATAGACAGGAAAGGAGTGCAAAAAGGGTTTTGTTTTCAGGCTATGACGTATAGACACCAGTAGATCCGAAAAACTGTGTGCACAAGTGCTGTTGACAACTAAGGCCAAGGTTGTCCTATAGATCTTCTAAGTATATGTTCTCTTAGAGTAACTACACTGAATTTTTGTTCGTTTTTATAGTATAAAGAAGAAAATGGAATGTGAGTCCGAAACCCAGTCATTGCTGGAGCTGAAGACAAAGAATAACAATTACCTCAGACAGCTCTACAAACAGGCATATCAAGTCGGGGCTGTTTTCCACCTAGCTAAGCATAAAACAGACGAAGTAGAGAACCAAATAGCAGACGTGAGAAGAAAATTCAAGGTCAGGTATTGTTGTCATCTCTAAAATATTTTTTTAAAAAAATGTGATTAACCTGATTTTTTTTTTTTTTGGCTTGATCTTTCTTCATAGTTAGATTTTAGTGTAAGGGTTAATTCTCTTCTTGGAGACCAAAGTGCCTGGTACACAAGCACAAAGACCTGAGATCAGATCCCGAGACAAAGTGAGAAAACTGTACACAGTAGAACCCAGGTACTGATTAGGAAGCACATTGTCTGTCTAGCCTAGCCAAACCATTGAATTTTTGGCTTAGTGAGAGAGGGTTTGTGTCAACAAAGGGTGGAGTGAGTGAGGACTTCCACATCCCTACACGTGAACATGCACTACATGCATATGCACACCCACAGACACTAGCAAGTGTATATTCACACCAAAAAAAGAAAAAGAAAAAAATTCAACCATATGGTTTAGGTGTGGGTAGGCATGTGAATGGTGCTTGAAGTCTAAGTAAGGGTCCCATTCATATGAGGTAAATGCCCTACCACGTGTAGCATATGCTAAGGTGTCTTCAACTCTTCTTAAAACACATCTAAGTTGCAAGAATAAAATCATCCTTCTCCAAACGATGAGGATTCAGTGCAGCTACCTTTGCTATGACCAGGCACAAGCATCTGGAGCCAGGAATGCTAAACTTGGTTGAGTTTTCTCTTACACACATAACTTACACAATAGAAGGTGGGATTCTAAGACACACCCTTTGACCCTCCATGACACACTAATCAGGAGGGCTTCTTCAGGCTTGCAAGTGAGTGCCAGGAACCTTCTAGACAACGATGATACAGAATCAAGTGCTCATGTCTTTTAGTTCAGGCCTATTTAAGCAATAAGCTACTAATGAATATCTCCTACCACTTACTGCAAGTCAGTACTGTTTTCTTCCCTGAAGAACACACAAACAGGTTTCCCTCCCTCCCATGGTTGCTGGCCGATGAAGAATATTTGTGCTGTGTCCTGAGTGTGGAAGTGCCACACGGACCCGAGTCTTTGTTGATATTGAGAAGCAATCAGTCACTGAACTGTGTCCCCAACACATTCTTCTTGTAGGCATGTTTTAATATTTGTTACCATGTACTGAAATTAACCCAGGATCTCTGTTATCCAGAAGATAATAACAGCCATGTCATCTCTGGGTTGTTTCTGAGAAATGGCCTCACTGTAGAGGTGGAATTTCTAAATAATATACCTATAAATTAATGTATCAGTAAAATGCCAGGCCCATTTTTTAGGCAGCTAATCTGAATAATCAAAGATATAAAACAACTCCCAAAAACTTCCGACTCTATCAGATGATCTCTCCCAGTTTTTCCAAAACATTAGTGTAGTTGGTCATTTTTGCCAGACTTTCTTAGGACTCTCAATCCACAGATAATGACATGGAGACTTATTATTAATTACGAAAGCTTGGTCTTTAGTTTAGACTTGTTTCCAACTAGCTCTCATAACTTAAATTAACCTGTTTATATATATATATATATATATATATATATGTATATATACATACATATATATATGTATATATACATATATACTACCATAAGCCTTTTTACCTCCTTTTTTTTATGTCTCACTCTCTTTGTGTGTGGTGTCTCTAGAATGCACCTAGATTCTAACCCTCTGAGTTTTTCTTTCTGCCCAGAAATCCTGCCTTTTCTCTCATCCTAGTCATTGGCCATTCAGCTCTTTATTAAACCAGTCAAAATAAAACAGTGACACATTTTCACATGGTGTGATCAAATATCCTAAAACAGTTCATATCAATAACGTAAATATTCAGGAAAGAAGCGCTTTCCCAGAGTGTGGGGTAAGATTCACAACCCCGCTGGAACACAGGACAGCAGTGGCGCAATGTATCTTCCGCCATGATAGTGAGCGGATGAATGGAAGCAGCCAAACCCGTCTCAGGAATGTGGCATTGCACCAAAAAAAAATTAAAAGCTGTCACCAGCTGTTAAACACTTTCCGTTGAAGGCTCCTGCTGTTGTTACTCTCAACTTAATGCGATTCTGGCGGAATTCAGATAGATCACGTCTCTAGCTCTGGACTATGTGGGAACTCCCTAGAAAAGAAAAGCTGGGCTGGAAGGAAGACTGTAGCAGTAAGGCTACTTTATGTTGGGGTGTGTGGTGGGCCATCTTGTCAACATTACAGGGTTTACAGTCCTCAGGGACACACATCTCTGGGCATGTCTGCGAAGGATGTTTTAGATTAGAGCAATCCAGGCCTGAACATACTCTCTGGCCTGGGGTGAAGGATTGAAGGAATGGGAATAAGGAGTTCCTGTCAGCTTGACATCCTGTCATGGCAGACTTGTCTGTCCAGAGGTTACTCCTGCCAGGTATTCTGTCACAACCACAAAACAATTAGCACATGAAAGCTATCTATTATGGTGATTTGTTGGTTTCAGTAGACACACTACTGTATAATTGTTATAGACACCTTCATTTGGGAGATAATTGTGAATGGAATAGGGGGAAGAGAACATTGGATTCAGGGCTTGTAATTTAAGAAACACCACATCTACACTTTGGCCAACAAAGGTTTCTAATCCAAGCTTGAAATTTAAAAGTAACCAGTTGAGGGAGTCGGTTTTAGTTTTAGAAAACGAATTAATGTTCTAGTTCATACTAATCCAGTACTCCTCTTTGCTTTTAGAAGACCATCATTTCCCTTAAATAATTTTTCATTGTTTCAACCAGTCTCAATTCTTTGCTAGAGAAGATCCTTGCTCCTCCTTTTGATGGTTGCTGTAGACTCCTGTTTCTAAGTTTTGTTTTCCCCAGTTTTCAGTAGCTTACTGATATCCAAAATACAACCATATTTAAAGGAAAATAGTATAAAAAAAATACTCACATTTTGAACATGATGCCCTGAGCAGAGCCTCCTGCAACCTGCTCTGTTCCTTCCACCCCTCCGTCTGATACATATGCTCGGGATGCTCTGCCTGCCTGTGAGTCGCTCAGTAGCCATCTTGGTTTACCAAATCAACTCTCATATTATCGCAGTATCGTTATCAAATGTCAGCTTTCCACATATGTGAAATCTGAATAGTGAGATCTCTTTTCTTCAAAATTTCTGCCAGAAGAAAGATGCCTTTCATTACTTACCGGAAGTACTAGTTTCTCGACAAATAGTTATTGTTTACAGTGTGTTGTTTTAAGCAAAGAGACTCAAGAGTTAAATCTCCACATCGTTAAGGATTTCTTTTCCAACCTGAACAGCAGTATAGATGGTCCCATATTATGGAACGTTCTTTATGTTTCTCCCTATTTCTTTTTAGAATATTTCATTTATTGGATGGAATTGGGCTTCAAATTGGATACAGGGTTACTTATTATCTACACAGGTTCAGCGTGGGGTTTACCGTATTCAGCTGAGACTTGACCACCAGAAACTAATGAAGGATAATCATGTTTAGGTAGAGTCAGTTTGGGCCATCCCCAGACTGTATGTTGAGGTCATGAACGCCACAAAGCATCTCGACTGAGTGCAGCCAGGGGCAGGTCTGCCAACTATTTCAGAGCGGCCCCCTCCTTTTTTTAACCCATAAATCTCAATTTATTCCAAATCAAAGTCTTCTCCGACCTTATTCTTAGCTCCTGTCCATCACTATTAGGTAAATGGAGGCTGGTGTTCTTCCTTTCTGCTCGGGTTTCCAGACACATCACATAAGGATCAGGCTGTGCTTCCCAGGGGTTTTTATGCTAGACCGGTGGTCTCTAGCAGTATCACAGCTCTCTGCTGCCACCTTCTGGTTTCTGACTGCTAAAACCGGGCAACCACCGTGTAGCAAGCAGGTCGCCTGTGAACCCTTGCTAGAATCCCAAAATCTCTTTTTAAATTCAATGTTCCTTTCCTGTTCTCTGAAGTGATCTCTGGATCTCCGTACTCCTTTTCTCTAAAATCAGAATTGAGTCACTGCGACAGATACCCGATAGCCTATACAGCTTAAAAACATTGGTCCTCTCACCCCTTACCAGAAGTTTCTCTGACCCCTCCTCTGAAGATTTCAGTAACTGCAAATGTAGGCGCAGCCACCGCCTGAAGCAGTGGGTGGAAAGCCCCAAAGTAGGATGAGCACAGAGGGGGTGGCTGTCCCACTATGAGGACCTCACTGCACCGTTGCCCTTGTCTCTGTGGAAGGTAGGCATCTGCTAATCCGCTAATTACTGGCCAAACTCGAAGGCAGTTAAATGTAGATAATGGGCTAACAACCTAAAAGACCCCTTGCGGGAAGAAAAATTACAGAAAAAAAAAAAAAGTCAACCAACCTCCTGTAGGAGGAGAGGTGTGGAGCCCCTTGCCTGTCCCTCCACTGCCCTCTGCTGATAAAGCTTAACTTTCCCCAAGCTGCCAAAGAACACAAGACCCAGCAGCACGTCTTAAATCAGAGTTCAGAACAGTAAATGTCGGGTTTAGATGAGAGGTCTACAGGCACGTATTCTGGTTCATTTGGCTGGGGTGTGATGAGCTCTGCAAAGTGCCCTGGTCTATTAAACCTTTAAATCTTTTCCAGTGTTGGTCTTCAAGTTTAAAAGGAGGTGTGTGTGTGTGTGTGTGTGTGTGTGTGTGTGTGTGTGTGTGTGCGCGCGCGCGCTGAGACAGGTGGTTTAAGGGTATCTGTTGATCTTCCAGAGGATCAGGGTTCAATTGCCAGCACCCTCACTAGGGCCTCAAGGGGGCCTGTAACTCCAGTTCCACCATCTTCTGAATTCTCCAGGCACTGAACACATGGGCACAGACACACATCCACATGACCACAAGCGAGTCCATTCATCCTGTGAACATTTAAAGGTCACACGCAAGGTTCTTGGCAGAATTTCTCTGATATAAATTTATATATTTTGTTCCCAGTGCAATGCAGGTGAAATGGGGAGCAATCTGACGTTGCCATAACAGTGCATCGGAGAAGCACATCAAAATTACACGGCATATGTTATGTTGCTCATCACTGATGGTGTTAAGTCTGATCATTTTGTTTCCAT